CGGCCAAAAGAGGAAAAAGGGAGGAAGAGGGGGGAAGAGGAGGAGCAAAAAATTGCTCCTAGAAACTTACTGAAAATGGTTATTCACGCTTTTGGCTTCAAATTTTGTCAATTTTTCACTATTACTCAACACCGCTGAGCTAAATACTTCATTGATGAAAATAAAATTGCGCTAAAAAGGTCGTCGATTTTCAACTTTCAGATAATGCACTAATTGTATGCTTACACTGTTTAAAATTCAATCTAGCAGGGGCAAGTTTTAGAAAAAAACTTTGTGAAGGCTCCGCGGACCCCTTTGCTCTGGAAAAATCCCCCCCCCCCTCGACATCAGCAAGTGCTCCCCCCTCCGACTCACTCTGGCTGAATCCTCATCCATTGTCATAAAAACTTGGATGAGCATAGGGGGACCACGAACAATAAATCGAGTGGGTAGCTCGCTTAAAAAGTGGCGATTTTTTATGAGTAACCATGGAGGTTACCGGAATCATTTTGGATCAGAGGCAATTTTATTCAGAGACATCTGACTAACAGTCTAAGCAATGTAATCAGAAAAGGAAAAAGTTGAGTTAGGAAGTCGAAGCTAATTTTCCCCTATCGATGCTTGATGAGCAACTTACTGAGCAAAAATTACGTCAAGCGATGCGATGAGTCATCAGGCGAATCTGAGCGTTTACTTCCAAGTGTAAATTTTACACTAAGACAATAATAGCAGTGAGCTGTCTATAAACTGTAGTGTCTCTGCCTCGAACCTCCTAACTTGCGATTGTGGGCTGTAAAGGGTCCACATTGGAGTACTTACATGCACGGTTCGTTTCAGAGGGAGGTAAATAAAATAGTGTTGCCCACTCAAAATTCCTTCGGGATCTTGAAGTAGGATGCATACACAGCCATTTAAGCCTAAAATGAACATATTCTGGCGAGCTCTTCGAAAATAAAATCGATGTTTGTGTTTTTGGCGCTAAAATGGCCTTCAAAAACGATCAATGATCCAATTCCGATGGGTTGTGCATATGCAAAATGGTACATGTATGATGAAATCTACGTATTTTTGGACCAGAAATCGATTGAGCAGGGTCCCGAATCGGTCCGAATCTTCATTGACCGAAAAATGGGCCTTTTTTGGGATTTTAGGGATGTTTTGGGCCCATTTTTTCCCAATTTTGTCGTGAGAAAATCTGTGCCGTCATGGGTATTGATTATTAGGTAATTTCGGGCGAGAAATCGAACGCGCTTGGTCACGAGTCAATCCGGGGCTTCCTAATCCAAGAATACGCAGTAGGCCCAGGTGGAGCTCCGGAAGAGCTTTGAAAATATTTTTTGTCTTTTATGTTCAAACTGGATGCTGAAATTGGCCTTTCTTTGACTTTGAAATGAGACTCCTGAATAAGTAAGTTGTGATTTGTGTATGAGGAATATTTCTTTTTCATGATACTTGGACAAATTTTCCAAATACATACTTCTCTGATCATGAGATCTAGTTCAATTTCTAGTGCTGCAACGTAACAAATCAATATCAATCACGAGATATCCAAAGGAATACATCCACCGGCGGTATCAGCGGTATTCCTATCAATAATTTTTATTTCGACCGAGAAAATATGCCGTACACATCAATTTCTCTTTTTCAAAGACCTTTTGACGAGAAATCGTATGCGCTTTATGAAGAGACGGTATAAATTTGGACTCGAAAAATGAACTCCTCTTGTGGATTTATAATATTTATATATGCAGAATAACTATTTTCCCTCCTTTTTCGGTCAAACAAATAATCTTAACCCAACCAAGCCAAGAAAAATTTTTCGGCCTAAGAAGCCCCGGAGACTCGGGACCAAGCGCATTCGATTTCTCGCCCGAAATTACCTAATAATCAATACCCATGACGGCACAGGTTTTCTCACGACAAAATTGGGGAAAAATGGGCCCAAAACATCCCTAAAATCCCAA